CTCTATGTTAAGACAGTGTCTTAAGTACTAGTCTGACCAACTAGCAGTTAACCAAAGGGTAATCAGTCTTATTTTTTGGATTAAACTTATACTAATGTACATTTTTATTTAAGTAAATTAAAAAAATATATGACCTGCCTTAAAGAAAAAATTAGCTGACTAACTTTTAAGACTAGTCTAAACCTTTTATGCAACCGGCCTGCGTGACTCATCATAGACAAGAACAGAGAGAAGTAGTTTTCTAACTACTAGTACTACTAGTAGTTTTTCTTTACCCGCCAGAGCGCAAAAAGTTAGGACTGCAGCTTTAAAGGAATAGCTCACCCAAAATGAAAATTTGCTGACAATTGCCTTCACCATTTCTTTAAAAATGAGTGAGTAAACAGCTCCCAAGAGCACTTGAGGTGTTTAATGAGGATTTTGTGTATTAAAATACACACTGGGATAGAAAAAAGGTATTACAAATTAAGGAAATGCATATTTTTAAAGAGCAATTGATTATGTTGTTGTTGTCACCTGTCCAGATGTTTGGACACCAGTAGATCCTATGAAGTGAAAAGCTGTGTGTTTGTAAAAATGTTAAGGCTTTTTAACTTTAAACTGTCACTTCTGGCCAAAAACACCAATCCATAATCCATAATAACTCTTCCTCCAGTGAAAATATCCATCCCCTGTCGAGATCTCACACCAATCCACCAACATATTTGTTTAAAACTGTTTGCACTTGATATGTGCATATTAACTCTCACTATTCAGATTAAATGACTTTTTCACAGGAGAAAGCAATGTTGTGGAGAGGAGAGGACTTGTATTTTAGCCAACAACAACGGTTTGAAATGAAAAACATCTTGATGGATTTTGATGATGGATCACTTCACAAGACGTTAATTGATGAACTAGAGTCATGTGGATCACTTGTGGAGCTTTTATCAGATATTTGAATTACTCAACTACATCTTGGATGGCCTAAGGGTGAATACATTTTCAGAAAATAATCAGTAAGACGACTAAGTTGTCAAACATTTGTGCAGATAAAGCAAGCAAATTGTATCCTATACTATTTGTCAAAAAGGTGGTTTATGACTTGATTCGTGACCCTATGTCACTCTGACTGACACACACCTGTTCTGAATCATGTCTCTACACCTCTACGGCTGACAGACAGTTTTATGGTATTGTTGTCACGGTCCTGTGAGTTTCTTTATAGTGTTGGGTGACAGAATCGTGACACTCCTATGTTTTTGGGTCTGAGCACATGGTAGGGTGAATTCCTGGCCATGTGCTCTTCTCTGCTGTGTTATTGTTGTGCTGTGGGGGTAGTTGTCATTGTTGTTTGTTGTTTTTATTTTTATTTTTGGACTTTCATTAAAACCCGTCTAACCCTGCACTCGAGTCCTCGACTGTCCCTGGCTTGCACCCACACCTGTGACAGTTGTTCTTTTGTCCTCTGTGTACTGACATCCCAGTGTTTGCTAAATAAGGTTTAGGATACGGTGGTTAAACACTGAAGACATGTGTTGTGACTCTCCAAACACTCCTTATACCCCTAGAAGAGTGATGTGTGTTTCACCAACAAGAAGTCCTGTTTAATAAACATAGGATTCGTTTGCAAAGTTTTTGCATGAAGATGCAAGATTTAGCAAAACATGAATTTTTCAGTGTCTGCTAATCAGGTAGTGGGAAATGTGTTTGATAGGTGGATTGTGAAACTTTATGCTGTGGATCTTAAAGAATATTTTACACCAGAGGAGCCTGTCTGTTTTCCCCTCCAAAGACTGCCATTAATTCTGTTATATTTGGAGAGGTTTGAATGACTTTGGTGACGAACCATGACATGATGTTTTTGTTTCAGTGCAGAGATGTTTGCACACTTCATGATATTTCTAAAGTATTCTGGAAAACTGGGTCGGTCTTTCTGGGATGGTACTCAAATTCAGGTCATACTTAGAAGGGAGAAGTTATTATGTGAGTATAGGAGAGCATAAGTCTATGTGGATGACCATGACATGCAGGAACCAGAAAATCTGAGCATATTACACCAGTCCTCAGGTCCTTACACTGGCTTCCAGTTACATTTAGGATTGATTTTAAAGTACTTTTACTCGTTTATAAATCACTCAATGGCCTAGGACCTAAATACATTGCAGATATGCTCACTGAATATAAACCTAACAGACCACTCAGATCATTAGGATCGAGTCAGTTAGAAATACCAAGAGTACACACAAAACAAGGGGAGTCCGCTTTTAGCTTTTATGCTGCCCGCATTTGGAACCAGCTTCCAGAAGAGATCAGATGTGCTAAAACATTAGCCACATTTAAATCCAGACTCAAAACTCATCTGTGCATTTATTGAATGAGCACTGCTACGTCCGAACTGATTGCACTGTATTTTATGTATTATCATTGTCTATTTTTAACTGTTTTAAATTCATTTTAAATCTATTTTTAAATCATTTAAAGTTTTTAAATTCCTTGTTTTATTGTTGTGATTATTTTTTTTATGTTTATTTTATTTCCTTTTATGTAAAGCACTTTGAATTACCATTGTGTATGAAATGTGCTATATAACTTGCCTTGCCAAATTTTGATTTTGATGGCTGCAACACACTCCAAAAAAGTTGGGAAAGTGGCGTGTTTAACACTGTGTCACATCAACCTTCCTTTTAATTACAATGTTTCATTGTATGGGAATTGAGGATACTATAATTGTTAAAGTTTTACAAGCAAAATGTTTGTCCAGTAAGACTTCAGAAGCTCAGCAGTCTGAGCTGATGAACAAATCACAGATTCTTGATTTTATTGCATTTTACAAAATGTCCCAACTTCTCTGGGATTGGGGTTGTAAAACATTTTGCATGTAAGGTGGATCACTTTACGTATTTGGCAGTTGTCAGTTATGTTTTGTGAACATTAAGAAAACTACACAAGACAAAACAGTTCCATTCTACTGATGCTTATTTGATTTAATTCTTTGTGTCAGACCTGGAGTGTGAACACTTGAACACAGGAGAAAGGAGTGAAGCCAAAGCATACAGTCCAGGGAAATATTTATTTAAAAAAATAGTCTTTTAATAAGGAAAAATAGTATACATTTTGATTGGGTTAACTATGTGCATATGTTCTTAGTCCACAATCTTAACTGAGTTGTAGCGGTCTCATTTACTGCTGCATGACCGCTGGCCTACATACACTCACCCAAGCAATATCATCTTGGTCAACCACCTTATTCTTGCAATTTCGCAAAGACTGACAGCAGAAGGTCTGGACTCAGCAGCTTTCATTGGCCAGGGGCCACCTGTCTGACCGACATGTAAAGCGTCTAATCACAGTTTATTTAGCGTCATGTTTAGGGGTGTGAACATGTCAAGTCGATGTCTCTACAATAACAAACTGGCGTGTAACCAATAAATCATTGATTCAAGAGCGTCGTCTTCAGTCATTAAGACTCTATGCCGTGAACTTCACATACTTTTGAAATCCAGTGTTTAGTTTATTCTAATAAGCAATCATTGGTGTAAAAACATTGTAAACACGATGGCTTTCTTCTTCAGTGAGGGCTTTGGCGTCATGACAGGTTTGTTCACAGAAATCCTGTAGAACTCAACCAATCAGATGATGACTTTCAAAAAAAGATCTTAGTGTGTGTTCCAAAGATGAAGGAAGGTCATACGGGTTTGGAACGACATGAGGGAGAGAATTTTCATTTTTGGGTGAAATAATCCCGTTAAGTCCTGTGTTTTCTTCTGTTCATGGTCAAGTCTTGTTACGTCTGTTCAGTTCCTGTTTCTAGTTTTGAGTTTGTGTAAATAAAACGAATTTGCTGCCCTTAGATCCTCACCTCATCCTTATTTGCAACTGTTTTGTGACAGAGAGAGGAGCTTTTTTATTTTTTGAATCTGTAACTCACCAGAGTTTGTTTTTGACAGGCTATGCATTTCTTTATGACACA